AGCAGGTGGATTATTACAAAAGCTACATCAAAACCTGCCTGGACAACCTGGCCAGCAAGGGCAAGTGAGTGTGTCTTTTAACTTTTCATCCATGTCGACGGTGGAGGGGGGCGGGGGGCCGGGGGGAGCCATAGAGGCAACTGAAGTGACATGGGGATTTTTAATTTTTATTTTGTTAATCCTCACCTGAGGACATTTTTCAATTGATTTTTAGAGAGAGTGGGAGGGAGGGGGAGAGACGGAGAAAGAGAGTTCCATCGATGTGAGAGAGACACATCGATTGGTTGCCTCCCACACGGACCCTGATCAGGGCCGGGGATCGAGCCTACAACCGAAGTACATGCTCTTGACCAGAACCGAAGCCAGGACCCTTCAGTCTGTAGTCCGACGCTCCACCCCTGAGCCAAACCTGCTAGGGCTGGGGACTTTTTTTAACTTAGAACACACTTTATTGCATTCATTCTTTATTTTGCTTCTGATCTTCTAATCATCTGTGTAAATTCCTAGTTCCATTTGCCATTGTATGCAGAACCCCATGCGGGGTACTTATTTCTAAGCATCTCTTGCTCCGAAATGGCTTCCTGGCCCCAGAAATTAAAGAATCAGGATGGAGATTATCTCGTGGTCCCAAACCTTGTCTGTGCCTCAAGATCGCCTAAGGAATATTAAACATGGCAGTTCCTCAGCCTCACCCTCTAGCTCCTGGGGACGGGGCCCCAGCCCCTGACTTTCCTGGCTGCTGAGGAGAATGATACACCAGCCAGAACCACCAGCCTGACCCTCTGTGGGGCCAGAAACTCATAACCCAGAGAGGCGCGTTGATCAGTGTAGGTCCTACTTGTAGGTTAGTTTCTCTTTTGCTCCTAACTTTTCATTTTAAGAATTTTCAAGCTTCAGAAAAGGTGACTGAATAGAACAGTAAAGACCCACAGACCCTTCACCGAGATTCTTCTGTTTTCATTCTGCCGTATCAGCTTCCTCTCTCAAACACCAGGTCCAGCTCACCCAGCCGGCGGGGGTGGCGCCTGTGTCCTTCTGACACGCCCATCATTCTTGAGAACTTCCTGACTTTACAGCACAAGGTGTTTCTGGTTCAGGCTGGGAATTAGCTTTTTCTCCCAACATCCCTGGCTCCCTTTAATGAAGAATGGAATTTAGAAACCAATATCTAGGGGACTAAGTGTGCGCATTGCCACGGAGTCATCATTGCTTCTAGGTCCACTAAGACAGCCAGGGTCTCATTTCCTTTTTAATGGCTGTATAGTATTCCATTGTGTAGGTAGATGTAACAACTGGCTCAATCAATTCTCCATTGGTGGGCATTTCCGTTCTTTCCAGTTATTTATTTTTTAAAATTCTGCAACAAATAACCTCTTATACATATATCATTTTGCAAATGTGAGCATATTTTTTAAAAATGTATTTTTATTGATTTCAGAGAGGAAGGGAGAGGGAGAGATTGAATCATCAATGATGAGAGAGAATCATTGATCTACTGGCTGCCTCCTGCACGCCCACTACTGGGGATTGAGTCTGAAATCTGGACATGTGACCTGACTGGAATCAAACCTGGAACCCTTCAGCCTTCAGGCCGGCGCTCTATCCACTGAGCCAAACCGGCCAGGGCATATTTTTAAAGATAAATTCCTAGAAGTGGAATTACTGGGTCAAAAGTTTTGTCCAGTGCGATTTTGATATATATTTCAGTTTCCTTCCAGAGGGATTCTCTCTTACACTCCTGCCAGCATTTCTGCCCCATTTCCTGAGACACCCCTCACCGCCTTCGGAGTCCCAAATCCCTGGTTTTCCTTTGTCTCTGTTTTTCCTTTGCTTATTTTTCTTATCACTTCTGGCCTCTATTATCCCAGTAACTTCTTTTTTCTTTAAATATACATTTTATTGATTTCAAAGAGGAAGGGAGAGGGAGAGAGAGATAGAAACATCAATGATGAGAGAGAATCATTGATCGGCTGCCTCCTGCACGCCCCCTACTGGGGATCGAGCCTATAACCTGGGCATGTGCCCTTGACCAGAATCAAACATGGGACCCTGTAGTCCGCAGGCCAACGCTCTATCCACTGAGCCAAACCGGTGAGGGCCAGGCTTAAATTCTTTTAAAAAAGTCCTTATTCTGAGATGTTTCTATTTTTCCCCTGCACAGCTGAGGGGTGTAGAGCGACTCCCCTGGGGGTCAGTATGTTCCCCAAACTGGCATTAGAAGCCCTCACACTTCCTGGTAGGTGCACATAGAAAGTTTAAGACACTGTCAGATTCATGGTGTGTCCTCAAGTGTAATTTAAATTGAAGACAAAATCAGCTTAGTACTCTTTACCCTGTTTTGTAATGATATTGCTTAGGCTAATCCTAACATTCATTTGCCATTTTAGAGTTGATGTGATTTCCCCTTGTGGATGGGAAGTTCGTTTTCTGATCCCATATTTTCGAATTACCGACAGAATCAAAGTAGATAGTTATAGAAAGTGACGTGATGGCATCTTTACAGGGTCTCCAAGAAGCCGAGGGAAATGAAAGGGAAGAAAAGCAAAAAGATTTCTCTGAAATACACGGCCGCACGATTACATGAAAAGGGGGTTCTTCTGGAAATCGAGGACCTACAAGTGAATCAGTAAGTATTTGCTTGTTAACTTCATTTCGTACATTGATTTTTTTTAATTTATGCATTTACTTATTTTTAATTTATGCATTCACGTCTTCATATTACTGCCTTTACTTCTCTTAGCGGGATGATCACTTTTATATTTTTCTATT